AAAATGAAACAAAATCTACATGAGAACATGAATAAGATTTTGAATAAAAATGTTTCATAATATATAAAGAGAAAACAGGATAAGGCTGTAAACATTTAAGAAGATTTTTTTTTTTTTAAGACAGAAATCTACGGTCACCACCTATTCTTGAGGCAGTTTCCTCACTTGGAAACTGGATGAAGCAGACCTGGAAATCCCCAGGCATAATCTTACACACTGAATACTTTTTTAAAAAAAACATATCTAATTAAAGCAATGAAATAGGAATTTGAGAACACAGTTTAATTGCTGTAATTTACATAAAATTGAGATCTGGCTCTGAAAACCCGTATTCAGTACTCTGTACAAAGGTTTTTGAATACACAAGTTTGCAACTGATATATAACCACTCCAAATTGAATGTACAGCATTATTTTTAAGTCACCTTCGAACAACTAAATTTTCTCAACAGCTATGTCAAAACGCCACACATCTGTCAGATTATATTTGCATCATGACATCTGAACCAATTTTGCAAGTTGCAGCGTATGAATGATGAAGTCCTATACACATGCAGTATCACTTGCCCCCATTGTAGACTTCTCACTGGTTCTCAATCTGTCATGGTTTTTATAAAATCGCCCATTCGCCTATATGATTCTGTAGGGTGGAGTGAATAGCCAAAACTTACTCAGAACAATGGAGCTCTTAACTTCCCCTCCTCCTGAATCTCACTCCTCCTTCTAGTTAGGGAAGACTGTGATTGTGTTTTGAGAATATATAAAGATCCTTTAGCCAGGAAGCCACTAAGAATTAATTCAGTACAGCTACAAATCTATACAGCTACATGATAACACCTTAACAATCTGATGACAGAACTACTTTAAGACCTTAAAAATGATGTATTACTGAAGACCTTCGTAAAAATGGTGCATTAGATATTTTATTTATTCAGTATTATAGTAATGTATGACCTTTATTTTTAAAAAAACAAATTTAATTTCTCTTCTGCCCTTCAAAACATGTTGATTATAACATTTATCATCTCATTAAAGTTAATACGACTTAAATTGGTCACGGTGACTAGTCGTTTCAGCAATATTTTGCTTATGCCAGAATAATTTATTTGGAATACTGACCCATTATAAAGATGGCAGATTAAATCAGAATTGCTTTTTGTAACTGAAACAACTCCTATAAGCTGCCCCAAAGGGGTGGGGGGGGACATTTTTTTTAACTTGAAAAGAAATACTAGATTTGAATCCTAAACCTTTTTATAAAAAAGGATGAATAGCACTTCTTGCCTGAAACTATTGTCCTGGCCATCTCATTCTTGTCCACCTTGTTTGTTCTTTCTATAATATAGTTTGCCTATTTTCCCTGTGTGTCCCTATCTACAAAATCACCACACTGACACCTTTTTCCTCTTGCTCCATTAGCTTTAAAAATAATACAAATTTACTGCAAAAATGCTTTCCCACTTGATAGCCTTGGTTCTATTGAAACCCTCCAGAAGAAAGGTGATAGGTAAACGGAGGAGGAAATGAATGTATGTGGCACATTTATGTTCCAAATTAACAATTGGATTTTTTTTCCTCCCGTTTTATGTGCTATCTTATTCTTCTCTATCCATGAGTTCAAAATTGGATGGATAAATATATTGGGTTAATTGAGGATCAAATTAGAGCAAACTAAACCCGTTTAGTTTTAATTAATTAGAAATCAATGAGTTTCCCTGAAAAAGAACACTATTTAACCTGTTGTTCAAAATAAACTGGTCCATCCCTCAACGCTATTAGCATCGCTGGTTGTGTGTTTGAGAGGAAGGACATGAATAGCTTTTATATTTGTTTTTATTCTTCTTCCAAGCTTCCTAATTTGGAGATTTAATTATTTCATCATATTTATATTGTTTTGGTCTGGCTGTAGGTGGTTTCAGAAATAATAATTTGTGTTTGGATCAGAAAAAGACCAAAACATTTTAGTATTCTCACTTGGATAACAAGAAAAATATGTCTATCATCTCCATGTAGTACTTGCTAAAATCTGCTCATGATTTAATTTTATATAGAGCGGAATTTGATAGATTCCTAAAAATCTAATGTCAATACTTCCCCTCTTTGTTGAGGAAAAAGCTTGATAACAGATAACACCATGGAAATTACAAGAATTTGCATCTACAAATTCTAGAAAGCAAATCTGTATGTTGAAGATTGTCACTTCCGTTATCATAGCTGTCTTTTAGTATTTGAATTCTAGACCTTTCACTCTTTTTAAAAAGTGTACTTTTTGTATTAAAAATATTTCTTTGAATACCAAATATTCTAAGAGTAAAATGTACACAAATGAAAATTAATTTTTCTAAATAAAGTTACAAAACACATGTGCCACAGGAATGTTTCCAAGAATTCCTTGCTTGTGAAAAATTCTTAGGTTATCGGGTATAATTTCATTTAGCCTATAAGTATTTTTAGCTCCAATAAAAATGGCAGAAATATGAGTGTCTAAAGAAAGAGCCAGATGGCATCAAAAGTTCATTCCAGTTTTGAATTTTACTATTCTTACTATACAGAGATACTTATGTTTCGTTTGTTATAACAGATGCTAAATAATAGTATATATTACAATATGGTAAAGCTCCAGTTGCTTTTAGCCCAGGAAAAACACCCATCAAATTTATGATATGTGAATTCACCATACTCTTATTCATAGCGTTTTGCTTGTATAGGCATATATTTCTAAAACATAAATATAGTGCAAGATAGAGTTAAAATTACTAGCTATAGATTATACAGGTAACAGAGATGCAACTGTCACAAAGGGACTTTAAATGCATAAGCAATTCTTACATCCCAATGATATTTTCCTCTTGGACAATGTGACTGCTGAGACATCATTACAATTCTGTACCAACTTGCATGACGATAGATCACATTAAGCATAATGGAACTTGCATCTGAGTAGGCAAAGATGCAGTTATCCAACCCTATTCAAAAGATTCAAAATTATTCATCCTGAAATATACTGCTTACCCATTAGGAAGAGATATGGGTATAGTCACTTACAAAAGAGCTAGGTAATTCACTAAATATTTGGAGGCGACCCAGTGCTACAAATGAGTGTGCCATAAAACAAATATGGGAGATGAAAGGATTGTCTTAGCTTTAGAAGTCATTTAGGGAGTGCTTTTTTCTCTGTTCTATCTTTTTTTGAAACACAGTAGATATTTTGCGGCTCATGTTGTAATTCTATATTTCTTCTGACCTCAATTCATAACATATGTAATCAGATAAAGCTCTGGACTGGGAATGCCATGTCCCGAAAGCCTCCCATCCTTATCACATAATAAACTTTTTTAATGACAAATTATTCCAAAAGTTTTTATTATTATTCAAAACAATCTTTTTAGCAGAAAAATACAAAGCAGTTGTGAGGTTAACAATACCAGTCCTGTATAACAATAGAAATCCTGAATGAACAAGTGGGAGGATTTAAGTAGGCAGATTTTTTTTAAAAATTGCTGAAATTAATTCAATTACCTAGCAGGTATTGTGGTTAAATCAAAGAAATGTTAATATGAGTAACAAGGAAAAATGAAGCACACACAGATAAATTATTAGCAAAGCAACACAAATGGCACTGCAAGATTTAGGTTGTCGTGGTTCCAGTTTGAGGTATCACAAAGCATGCTGAAAGAGAAAAGAACCAAAAGAGGCCCCTGTCTTGTGATTAACAATATAAATGAGTCCAGTGACAGTTTAAGATCCTTAACAGTTTTCAAAATCTTGTCCAAGGTGCAGGCTGTTAATGCTGGCCTGATTTTAAGATTAAACATTGCTGTGTTTGATAGAACATCGGGCATTAGTTGTACAATTCCATGTCAAGCTTTCAATCCATGTTGAACAATTGAGAATGGAAGGAAGGAGGAAAAAAACGTGCAATTATCTATAGTTGTTTTAAAGTAAGAAACTGGCTTTGTACTGATCCCATTTCTCATTATGAAAAGGTAGTTGTATGCAATAAACCTTTTAGTACATAATAGGTAGAGATCATTTGAATTCAGCCCAAGTTACTGCTGATGAATTATTAGACTCCCTTAAACTCCAGGAAGTCTCTGAGAGAGAGAGTTTTATTAAGGCACTGAAGCAAAGGATAGTTCATAGAAAGAAAACAACATATTTCATGTCCAGCATGAACTATATGCTTGCTGCAATGACTCTGGAGCAGATAAATGTTTCAAGGATCAGGACATCATCTATCCAAGAAGATTTAAAATAAAGCAGGAAGTATAACTGCAGCAGTGTCGATGCTCACTTTTCCTGGAAACTCCATGGTGTACAGTCGAGACAGCAGAATGAATCATGGGGAAAGTACAAGGCGGTTCCAGGAAGCAAAATTATTTAAGTTTAATGATTAGATGTGACAGATACTCCTTCTGGGCACACCTTAGTATTGCATACAAGACCTCTTTCATAGTTTCTGTAGAAGAAGCAGGTATTTATTGAGAAATGAATGTGCCATTTCTCACCCTTCATCATTCTTCTGCATTCAACTTTGTTTCTGCAGAATTTCCCAATTCTTACTTTCATTTAACAAAATAGGTAGAAGCATGCACCCATACACAGAAATTTTTCTTTCTTTTTAGACACATTAATTTCTGCCCCTCCCAGTAACCCTACCTCTTTACTAGCATTGTTCACCCATTTTTCCCATTTTTGGTAAACATACCAAAGAACAATAATTCATTTGCTTCCTCTAATTTTTTTCAACTATTACTTATAACTTGGTATAATTAATACCATTTCTTCAATCAAGTTCTGAGTCATTTATGAACAATCAACAAGAATGGGGGTGTGTGTGGAATCTTTGGCTTACAACTGGTTGCTTAGAGATATTCAAAGTTATGACAGACGTACCTGGGGGATAACCTGGATTTGAAATTCCGATGCCCTGCCCCCCAGCAGTTGCATGACCACTTTTGGCATTCAGCTTCCCATAGTCATGTAACCACATTTTACTTCTGTTTTTGCTGAAAGTTGCCGTTTACTTCTGGTTTTTGGGAAAAATGATCCATATCAAACCACTGGTTTGCTTAACAATTGCAGCATTCGCTTAATGAACATGGTGACGTAACAATTGCATTATGGTGACCATGATGAGAAAACTCCATTAGAGTTATAAGTAGAGAAATCTCTGTAGCTGTTTTAAATTTTCAGATCTATATACCATGCTGCATCATATATTCTGCCTAACACTCACTGCAAATATTTGGTATTATCCTCATACCAAGACTACACATTCATTTACATTCTCAACCAATCATCACTCTAACTCATCATAAGCTTTCTTTAACACGTTTTCTATACATCACATTTAACAACCAGGGATTTATATAGTATCCCATCAAACTCTTCGTTCAGGAATGAACTATTGCATATGCTTCACTTCCATTACATATCATTCTAATTACTTCAGCAAGCAACCCCAACTCCATATTCAGGCAAAACATTCCATAATTGAAGTTTATTTTATCACACAATTTCTCATACAAAATTTATTACACATATAAGCTTTTCATATATTTTAAAATTATTTGTTTAAAAAAACTATTATGCATATTCTGTACTTATAATAAACTGCACAGCATTACTAACATTTTTGCTCACAATCATTTATTATCCCCCCTCTTTAATCATAATTCTGCAAAACATTCTTGAGGACAATTAATAAGATAATTCTCCATTAGTTTTTGTATTCAGTCTTGCTTCTTTTCCATCTATATAGGAAAAATAAAGGCAGTCTTCCAATTATCACACTTACAATTTTCATACACATGCTAAAAGAATTGCATATACAATTATATAATTATACCTGCTTCCTTACTATTTTTCAACATACCTACAGTATTTATGATTTCCCTTTTTCCTTGGATACTCACATGTACATTTCAGTTCCACTCTTTAGCTTAACATCATCATCCCTACAGGACAAATTTCTAAAATACTTCTTGAAGTATTCTCAAATTTCAGTTTTATTCTAAATCATTTTTTTTAAATTGCAATTTCTCTGCTGGAGTCTCCTTGTTGACCTCTGTTAATCTCTATTTTCTCTCTTAAAATACATTGTGCAAGCTATTTCACCCACATTTTTCCAGCCACCATCCTCTTATATTTTTTTCATCCATTGATTTCCTCTTTCACTTTATCATTCACAGAAGTTCTTTTCATGGCTCATGTGTGAATACATGTGAACACATTTTTATTCTGTTCCAAGCAGCTTCCACATTGTTCTTTCTTTATATCGTTTCAATTGTCTTAATAGTTTTACCTATAACACCAATACTTTCTCTTCCTGCAGCTGTCCTACTTCCAGTCTAGTTCCTTTCTTTTCTTTTCTTCTATATCCATGTTTCAAGATCTGCTCTTATAGACCTGCATCCTACTAAACTCTTGAGTCTCAGAGAAAAGTTTACTTTCTTGAGACCAGATAGCTGGTTTGGAGAAGCTAATAAGAAACAAACCAAAAATCGTGGAATGATAGCACTCCTCCACTCCCAGAATGACTACTTATCTATTCTTACAAACCTTTGTCACTAGGGGAACTTTCAAATTAGCCAATGAAAAGATAAAGTAATGTACAAATATGGTATTGAAGAAACACATCTAAAAAAGAAGAATGGGGGTGGAGAGGTGATAGCAATACTGAGTATTTTAAGTATTGCTTGATTACCAGATGTACTTCCCTATGGTTGTGTAAATAGAAATTTCCCCCAAGTTTGAGTCAACAAAAAAGTATGTTGATGTCATTTTTACTGCCACCATAGCTGATTTAAAGGTCATCAGTTACTGAGATTACAGATTGTGTCCTTACAGGTTTAATGAAGGACAGCTTCAAGGCACTAATTGGTCGATTCTTCAACTTCTTTTCTCTTTGAGTTACTAGTTGGCAGAAAAAACAATCAACAATCATTCTCCACTTATGAGACACAACTCTGGATTCCACATGCTCATCTGTTTCATCTTGCAAACCTCCTATACTATATCATCTAGCCCAGGGGTGTCAAACTCATGCAAAAACATCGTCGTCACATGACATATTGCAACTTCCCCCCCATTGCTAAACCGGCATGGGTATGGCCAGCATATGACACACCCAGCGCACAGGCTACAAGTTTGATACCCCTGATCTGGCCAGATGGTTTTCCCCTCATAGGACTAGCAATTCTAACAAAAGAAAACAAAACAAAACACAAAACAAAATAACCTGTCTATTGGGATGGAGCTTGCACCGAGATCTACAGATATATACTAGGGCCACCAAGTGACCATCAAGACCACTCCCACCTATACTGAGAAGCCACTAGTATATAAAAAGAATGCAAAACCTACACCCTACTAGCACTGATGTTATTAAGTTTGGCAATAAATATCCTCAAGAAAACAATCAAGCTCTGATCTAAAAATCTAGTATATGATTAGGTTAGAATCCATTACAGAATATAGACATAGACTATAATGCAATTAACCAAACTAGGTAGTTCTTGAGCAAAATCAGTTTTCTAGTAATTTCCTAGCTCAAAAACAGCAAAGTACAAACTGGATGAGACAGAACCTGATCTAGTCCATAAAGTTGTGATGGCTCATTATCTTAGAAAAAGGAAGGCAAACTTGCTGGTTTTTACAGTTAGATGTTTTGCAATAATTTATTTTTGTGTAGGATTTTGCTTTTGAATAGTTTTTCATTTCAATGCAATGCAATCCAAAACTTTTAATATACTATATACTTGTTAAAGTATTTTCTCTCCACATGTCCAGACACACATACATACAAAAACACACACACAGTAGGTCTTGATTGTAAAACATAAATCTTTTTGTTTATATACACAGCAATAGATTTGCAGCATGACATACATAAATGCAAAAATATATTATGTACAAAATTTTATTAGCATAGCATTTATTTTAAAAATTAGTAAGTACCAACAATTGAAGAATCTGGAATTATAGTTGCATGCATGTCTCTAGTCATATTTGATTTTTCTTTCAACTTTGATTGAAGTAATGTGTGTTCCACTACGCCAATTCGTATGTCCATCTGAATGGTTTCTTGCTTCAGTTTGGTTAAAGCCTGTTTTATCTTCACTAATGGAGCTATTAAAGGAAAATGTAAAAAAAGTACATTTTTTTCTTTGTTTACTGTACAGTTATTAACCCTTACCCCCACCTCGGGTGATTCAATCTCTTTTAACCAAGAGAGCTAAATGAACAGAAGAACAACAATATTATGGAATCGTTTTATAGATTGTCATTTCATATCAAACCTACTTATAAAACATAATGTATTTTCCATCTTCATGACATTTTAGATCCAAAGATATATATTAAAAATGTACATATATTCCCAGTATTTACAGAGATAACACAGAATGTTATATTTGAAAAATGCCTGCATATTATCTCACTGTATTTTTATCAACTTTATTTACTTTTATCAATGTCTTCAGAATTAAGTAACCCTCCCAATCTTAAAACAACTACAAACATGATTCAGCAATAAACAAGAAACCTGCTACATCTTAATTCCAGACAGCATTTAGGTTTGTGGAGATATAAAAATAGAATTAAACTGCATCCAGTATCTTCTATTTATCTTTTCACAGCTGAATAGCCTATTTTTGTACCAGTTATACAAATTAAAACATCCCAAAAGGCAGCAGTGTCAAAGCATTTCTATTATGTTGCCAAGAAAATAGTCCAGGTGTCTCCATCAATAGTAAATACATTGAGGTATTTTCCTATATTTTGGAAAAAATCTCAAGGAAAGATCTCAGAATGCCTTACCTCCATCAGTCATACTGCTTCCCTTTTCTTCCATTTCTTGTTTTACTTTCTCTAATTCTTCAGTAATCTTAGACAAAAAAAATAACAGGTTATAATTCTTTCACTTTGAAGTTAAGGATACCTCTTTCTCTTCTACACAGAAAAACATATGTTTCTTTACACTATTACCGTATTTTTCGGAGTATAAGACGCACCTTTTTCCCTCAAAAAAGAGGCTGAAAATCTGGCTGCATCTTATACATCGAATACAGCATTTTTTTGTCTCTCGAAGCCCCGCCCCTTCACCAAAATGGCTGTGCATAGCTTTTAGGCGGCTTTCAGAGAGTCCTGGGGGCTGGGAAGGGCAAAAATGAGCAAAAAAAAAGGACCGTTTTTGCTCAATTTTGCCCCCTCCAGTTCCACAGAGCACTCTATAAGCCTCCATGAAGCTATGCATGCAATTTTCCTGACAAAAAACGGGCC